TTCACGAAGTGCAGGGTATAAAAAAACATTACTTAGACATTTATATTGAATCATAAGTCGTATAAATGGATTCCGGTAAAAAAGTAAAAAAAGAAAAAAGGTGAGGATTAGCTTAGTTCAGATTGGCAATTTAATAACATATACTATAAGTTAAGCTTATTAAAACTGTGGAATGAATAATTGAACACTTTGAAAAACCAAAATACTTAAATTAATAATCTTTTCTCCAAATTCTTGAGTGATGTAAATTAAATATAGTTTTTAAGTAATAGAATTGAATGATTAGATGTCATACTTTCGGCAAATTTTCTTCATTGAATTTTTGACTTTTACATAATTATTTAATTACCATCTTTAATATCTTCAACATGAACCTTTTGTGTATGTTTGTAATATTTCGTTAATTTTCTATAGTTAAAAATGTTGAACGTTATTTTATACGAACTTGTTTATGACGCTGTGGCTTCTTCAATATTTTCAATTGACTGAAATCTTGTTCTTTTAAAGCGAACTTGACTTTAAGGACCATTGAGCGGGTGGGATCGTCGAAAAGTCGGCTCAAACCCAGAACATAAGATACATGTCGTTGAACTAACGTTTCAGTAGTATTTTTGCGTACCTACTATGTATACTCGTATATATATGCAAATCGCGAAATAGACGGAGATGCAACAAGGATCTAGTGAAAATTTATTGAAAATTAAAATTTAGTGCATTTTACTTAAGGAACGGAAATGTTTGTTAAATATTGGTTTTTTTTATAATTTTATTCAAAAAATTTTTCGCATGTACCACACATTTTCTTTTCAAGTCTGTAGTAAACATTGATAATTTAAATTCAACACTTTTGAAAATCCAAAACCAAAGAGGGTTTTTTTTTTCAGAAACTATTTTATACTTAATATTTGAGTAACGTTCACTTCTTTTCCATTTTTAATGTGAAAATTTCTATAAATCTTGCCTTGCTCGTACAACCAGGATGTTATAAAAGTTTAACGAAAGGAGAAAATTTAAAAAATTTATCTGATTCATCCGTATCGAATTCTTTAAAATTCTTGAGTTTTTATTTTTTTTAATTTTGCTATTATTATTTGGAATAACAATCATTGCACATACGCTAACAATCTGTATCCCTTTTTTATCAGAGGGAAAAAAACGAAGTCAAGAAATAGTGCGAAAGGAAGATTGGAAGTAAGGGATAGAATGATGTAGAAGAAGGGCGGGAAAGAGAATAATAAATAAATTAAATTAACGTAATTTCTTTTGGGTTTACTTTTTTTAACATGATAATTGTAGTTGTTAGACAATGAAAATTTAAGTTCAATGACCACCGTAAAATTGCTATATTTATACTTCAAGATATTAAATTTATTGATAAACAGTAAGTTTTTACATTGTATTACTTAGTGTAACACAAAAATCAAAATTTCCTTATTCGTTAAAAAAAACGTGTTTAAAAAAATTCACCCGCCTACTTACAACTTTAATTCATATAAAGTATTATAGATTTATACTAATACGAGTATTTTTGTAGCAAAGCATAACCTACGATATGCTTGTTATGTAGTGGATAAATACATTAATTTTATACAGTATATTATTATCATTCTATTGTGCAGTTTATGCAATTTTTAGAATATCTAAAAATTCTAAGAATAAACATACATTTATAGTAATTTATTTGGGTACGTCTTACCATTCACAGACACAAAATTGAAATCCATATGTAAGATAGTTTTTTTATTTACCTTTTATTAAAAGTGCTAAATTACAGTCCCATATGAATAAATTATTCCATACCATTGATTTTTTTGTCTTTTACTGTTATCGTTTTCTACGATTTATTTCTTTTACTGTTATCGTTTTCTTCTGTTTTCATTTATTTTTTTTCTTTCTAACTGTATTATATTTATATGAAGCCTTTTCTTTTTATACTCTGCACTTCGTGAGGGGTATATTGACTTTGGTATGGAATTTGTAACTACTCGAAGGAGTCATCTGCGGTATGGACATATATATATATATTTTTGCTCAGCGTAAAATTCTGCATCGATTTAGACATGTCCCTCCGTCCGTCGGTCTGCCCGATCGCACGATAACTCAAAAACGAACAATGCAATCGACACCAAACTTTCAAAAGTTTTTTCTTTTGTGCCAATGACGAACCCTATTGTAATTGGACTAATTCGGACAATGGGTTCGGGTAGCTGCCATACAACTCACAGAATTTATTTTAAATATTTCAAAAACTAATAAAGCTATAAATACAAAATTCTATACATGTGTCCAATTATATTCTACACATGCTCTAAAAATTTTAAAGGGATAGCTGCACCAGTTCGGCTGGCTGCCATACAACTCCAAAGGCAAATTTTTTATATTCGGAAAAATAATAAAGTCAGATTGATGAAACTTGGTAGTTGTGTGTCGAGTTATAGTTCAGACATATTTCTGAAGTTTTGTTTGAATTGCTTGGCAGGTTCGAGTAGCTCCCATACAGGTCTAAAAGCTTATTTTAAATATTTGGAAAAATAATAAAGTCAGATTCATGAGACTTGGCAGTCGTGCATCCAATTATAGGTCAGACATACTTCTGAAGTTTTGATGGAATTGCTTGACATGTTCGAGTAGCTCCCATACAAGTCCAAATTCTTATTCTAAATATTTGGAAAAATAATAAAGTCAGAATCATGAAACTTGGAACTTGTGTGTCCAATTATAGATCACATATATTTGTGAAGTTTTAGTGGAATTGCTTGACAGGGTCAGGTACTTGCACTACAACTCCAAAAGCTTATTTTAAATATTTGGAAAAATAATAAAAACAGATTCATGAAACTTGGCAGTCGTGTGTCCAGTTATAGGTCAGACATATCCGTGAAGTTTCTGTAGAATAGTGTCACAGGTTCGAGCAATTGCTATACAACGAAAGGTGTAGGGTATAATTCAATCGGTTTATACCGACTGAAACGTTTTTACTTGTTCTGTTACTTATTTGTATAATCTACAACTGGTATTTTTGTTTTTTGTGTTTTAACTTCCATCTACTAGAAGTCAGTTCTTAAAGTACTGCAAGTCATCTGTCGTTGATGATTATAATGAGTAAATGAACATTATCTATTTGTTTTATGTCTTTTTGCTTTTTTCCAAACTGTACTTTGTTGCGAATACATGTACATTATTCCCGTTATAGATATTATATATTATATGCCACCTTCTGCATATTTTATGCGGATAGTGCAAATCTATCTTAAAACAGCAAAATTTCCTTTTCATTTCATCATAGAACTTTTGGTAATATTATCGTATTTTGGTATATATTTAATAATAGTTTGGTTTAAAATGATAATTAAATACAAAAGCGCTAAAATAATTCAGTTTTCCATAGAAACAGAAACGTCAGCGACGATTTTTTAAAGAAACCGATCGGCCCCTTCTGTCAGGATCGCACCAACATTAGGTAAAACTTGCATTTGCGGTTATAAATAATTTGATAAAATTTAAACTAATATTTATTAAATTTCATTATAATTTCAGTACAATTTGTTAAATTTAAATCATACTAAACTTATCATTATCACTTTTTTAAGTGCTAAATGATACTGACAATAAGGTGACAGACATAAATTGACTAAAAATTTGGCGCTAACCTGACCATTGGTCTGTCTGTCTCTTAACCGAAGGGTCTTGGGTTCGAACCCCGGTCGGGTCACTGTAAAATTATATTCAAAATTATTGTAGCCTAATATATGTACAATACTCATAAAAAAAAAATAGTATACAATTTTCATATATCCATAATACTCATTATTAAAAAACTAAGAAGAATAAACAACAAATATTAATTAATATAAATAATTTAATATAAAGGAAACAACTATGGCAGACTAGTTACCTACCTAGTTAAAAACTCTATAACGCAATGAAACTTGGGCTTGACTATTTATGCTTCCTCTTAGGAGTGACAAAGGAAGGCATCCTCCCGAAGGGTACACTTGGGCCCCTTGGGCACGTTTTGGTGTTCTTATTTTAATACCACTTTTTTGGACTTATTCTCAGGAGATTATTCTGAGAAACACGTGAAATCCTCAAAGTTTTCCAAAAAAAATTTTTAGATCACTTAAATATTATAAATAAAATAAATTTCGTTCAAAGAATACATATGGAAGTTGTCAATCAGAAAGCGGAATTGTCAAACTTTCTATAATGTCTAAATATTCATTTTTGCACAGAACTAATTCTTATAAATAATTTTTGTCGCTTTTTTTACTACCAAAGCTACGAGTATGTACTTATTGTAGTTGAAACCGTTCTTTTATACTGTACTGTAACTTAAAAAAATTCAAAAGTAAAAAAAGGCGACACACTGGAAGAACCTTTTAAAAAATACTAAAACTGTTTTAGTTCTATTTATGTTTGTTTAATTCAGCTAAATTAACCAAATATTATAACATAATTATTACTTCAATGGGTAGATATTACTTAAAACTTGTTTTTGTGAAATTCGCTCTTTTATATTTTAATAGTTTAAACTAAATTCAAAATTATTTTAAATATGAAATGTATACGTAGGTAAGATTGATTACTTATAATTACTTTTTAAATTAGGTGGATATACCCTATATGGGTGTAATAGGTTATAGTAATGTAGGGTTGAACGAAACCAAACTTTTTTTTCGTTTAAAAAACTTGATATCATTTTTAATGCAAAAATATTAGCAGACTATAGGATGGGTGGGTAAATAACGTGCATTACTAAATTGCTTCAATAAATCAAATTGGGTGAAGATATTTCGTATAAGGATTTAAACACAGTATATACCTTATATAAATTGCAATATAATACCTTATGAAATCAATTTCTTTTTGGAATAAAAATAAGATTGCTTATTTCTGTTCTAATTTTTGAATTTTTGTTTTTTATTCATCCCCTTTTTTCTGTTCTAAATTATTATTGATTCTTTTTATATATTTCTACTCTTTTGCCATTTTTTTTGCAGGGGCTCAAATCCTGTATTGATTTCATTACCACAAGAATTGGCTGGTATGACATTAGAATCACGTCTGGTATCATACGATTGGGAAAATCAATTTGACAAATTCCAGGAAGTCACCAGACGAGGATCATTTAAGCCATTATGCTGGGGAGCTAAAAATGTTTTAGTGCCGGTAAGTGGATATTTAACACAATATATTTTTATATAAGTATCTTATATTTTCATTTTGATTAGTACGTTCGCATGGATAAATTTTGCAATATATTTGTATGTATGTATATGAATATGTATATACATAGAATAATAAATGAATTTCAAATTGTTGACATTTACAAATTGTGTATAATGGAGAAGTAAAAAGGACGAATTAGAAGGAAAATGATGTGCAGTGAAATTTTTAAAATGTATAAAAAAGAATGTTTTCTGTTTTTTATTTTTGTATGAAAAATGTTTTTATGAAAACTTTTATAAAAGGAAAAAGCATAATTTGAGTTGTAAACATTAAAAAACTGCATTAAATAATTTAAATAACTATTTTTAAGCAAAATTGTTATAAAATTATTATAAATATGCAAATTGAAAGGTTTTTTATTTACATGAAGCATTTTTATATTTAGTTTTAATCAAAGCTTATGAAATAAGAAACCTGCGCCAATTAAAATTAGTTTAATGTTCGTCTTTAAATAATAATTTAAAAGTAAAGTCAAACGAATCAAGAAAATAATATTGAGTAATCAGCATCTTCAAAAATTGTTCTATTAAATGCTATAAACTGTTTTAGAGGGACCTATGCAAAACCAAAAAAAAAACAAGTAAAAATGTTTCAGTCGGTATAAACCGATTGAATTATACCCTGCACCTTTCGTTGTTGTATAGCAATTACTCGAACCTGTGACACCATTCTATAGAAACTTCACTGATATGTCTGACCTATAACTGGACACACGACTGCCAAGTTCCATGAATCTGACTTTATAATTTTTACAAATATTTAAAATTAGCTTTTGGAGTTATATGGCCCGTACCCAAGGCTGTCAAGCAATTCCACCAAACCTTCAGAAATATGTCTGAACTATAACTCGACACACAACTGCCAAGTTTCATCAATCTGACTTTATTATTTTTCCGAATATAAAAACTTTGCTTTTGGATTTGTATGGCAGCCACCCGAACCGGTGCAGGTGTCCCATTTTAGAGCATGTGTAGAATATAATTGGACACATGTATAGAAAATTTTGTATTTATAGCTTTATTAGTTTTTGAAATATTTAAAATAAGCTTTTGGAGTTGTAGTGCAAGTAGCCGAACCTTAGCAATAATTGGACACACAAGTGCTAAGTTTCATGAATTTGACTTTATTATTTTTTCAAATATTTAGAATAAGATTTTTGACTTGTATGGGAGCTGCTAGAACCTGTCAAGCAATTTCACCGAAACTTTAGAAGTATGTCTGACCTATAATTGGACGCACGACTGCCAAGTCTCATGAATCTGACTTTATTATTTTTCCAAATATTTAAAATAAGCTTTTAGACCTGTATGGGAGCTACTCGAACCTGTCAAACAATTCCACCAAAACTTCAGAAATATGTCTGAACTATAACTCGACATACAACTACCAAGTTTCATCAATCTGACTTTATTATTTTTCCGAATATAAAAAATTTGCTTTTGGACAAAAGCAAATAAAATTAACAAAATAAAAAACTTGCGAAAGTTTGGTGTGGATTGCATTTTTCGTTTTTGAGTTATCGTGCGATCGGACAGACCGACGGACGGACGGACATGTCTAAATCGACGCAGAATTTTACGCTGAGCAAGAATATATATATATATATATCCATACCGCAGATGACTCCTTCGAGTAGTTACAAACTCCATACCAAAGTTAATATACCCTTCACGAAGTGCAAGGTATAAAAATCTGATGTAGTCAACACATAACCGACCGCAATGTTTATTGTCTAGATTAGTAAAAGTATTCCAGAAGATTATAAAAATGTGTTCCAAACACTTCTTTATAATCATAAGGACACTAATAAACTTTTGGTTAACATACCTACAAAATGTGAATTTGTAGGTATGTTAAAATTAGTTGTGCCGTACGAATTATACGAGAAGTTTGTCAGTAACTGCCGGTAATAACCAGAGCTTAAATATTAAATTTCAAGAAATTCCATCAATTCGTTCCGTAAATATTTTAAAAAATGTAAAATCGAACCCCAGATCAGTTTCCGAGCCCTGATCTTTCTAAAATATTCATAGATTCATTGTTTTAACACAATTTCAATGAAATTGGTTGATTATTTCTCTTTATATAAGCAAAAATGTATATTTGGCCCGTGGTAATCGTCCAGTTACTGATACCTGCTTCCAAAAGTTTGGAGGTTGAATGAAGCTTATATGTGAAATTTCAAGAAAATATGTTGAATATTTTCTTCAAAATGATGAAAAAAGTATAACAAGCCCCTTAAAAGGTATAGTTCCCGAGGCTCGATATATTCCAAAAGTTGATCAATCCGTGTTGTAGTCGAAATAAACTTACATATATAATTTGATAAAAATCGGTTCAGCCGAACTTGAGATACACGAGTGTACGCACAGACTTACAGAGCGACAGACCGGCAGGTTGTTAAAAATAGTTTATTTACACTTTCCTACCATGGAGAAGTGCGTTCCGACTGAAAACTCGATATGAAAGATTTGTTACCATCACCTACCTTATTGTATACACAATGCGGTAATTACATTTTATTAATGCAAAAATATTTTGGGGATACCTGTATTGAAATCTTGGTTATCTTCGAAATTGAATTTACAACGCAACAGACACATTGTATCGTCTTCTAAAATATTTCTAAAATATTTCGTCTTCTAAAAAAACAAAAAAATTTGACATTTTGACACAACATTTTTGAAAAATGTATTATGTTCAGAATTTATTTGATATTGTATTTTCGACTGAAATATTTCAGTGGCCTCAAACACAAACCGCCTAACTCGAGTTAAGACAAAAATGAGATATGTTTACCAGCGAATTCTCCGTTTTGAGTTTCATAAGCTCACAAAATTTGGTGGTTCTACGACTGTTGTAGCTGGAGTTATTGTCGAATTCACACATGACCTAACTCGAAATGGTGGCTATGTGCGCTTGCACTAATCGCCTAAATCGAGTTAAGAGCAGAAAACATCTCTTTTATGTTTTTCACAAACCACTTATTTCGAGATAGGCTATTGTTGCAAATCAAAATTAGTGACATTTTTTTTTTCATGTATGAATTTTTATAACCGCTTATCTCGAGTTAAGTTTTTGTTGCAAAATTAATTTTGTGTGTTTTTAAATATTAACTCGAGATAAGCGATTTGTGTAAAATAATAATTGTTGGTTGTTTAAACTCATCTCGAGTTAGGCGATTATTGCAAATGCAATTATATTCCAAAGGGCTTCTTATGTTGAGTTAGGTTTTTATAACGCGTGCAAATAAGAATCAAAAACCAAAGTTAAGCGTTTAGTGTAAGAAATAATATATGATTAGTGTAGAATATAATAAAATATTTTATAACGTATTAACATATTATTTTATGTGATATATAGTGTAGGTACTTTATGTCCATGATTTAAAACTTGTTCACTATAGTTAAAATTAAATCTTACATTCAGCGACAAGTAAGATAGTTGTATTTTTTAACACAAAATATAAAACATCTGCAGAATTTACCTGCATTATTAATGCTCTAATTACCCAAATATCCCATGTTTAAAATTTGAATTTTTTTATTTAACAAATAATCTTGTAGGTCATTTCGTGGTTTACCTGCGACAAATGTTTTTTTCAATTGACGGAGTTCCCATGTTAAAATGACACGTGGCTAGCTACCTGATGGTAGATTGTTTTGCCTTTGTGGTCTAACATAATTGTATTATTAAACAAAGTGTTGTTTTATTACGCCTTTGTAAAACACATGTTATTAGGAAGATCAAATTTTTGTGTTTAACAAGAGTTTTTATTCTAATTATTGTACTACAAAGCAATATTTTTATTATAAACTAGTAAAACACAATTTGTTAGAAAATTCAAATTATTATAATAGTAATATGCAAGGGTTTTCAATAAATAAATTTGGCACGTCTGGGAATAACAATATTTTGTTATACCTTTTATTACTCATTTCCGTAAGATTAAATTTCTTCGATTTTGAAATATTTATGATATTTTTGTTATTTCGAAGGAAGCATTTTTTACAAAGACAGTTATTTATTATTGTTTTTAAATGTGCTGATGTTGGAAATTGTTAAATAATGCAAAAATTATCCAATATAAACTTTATTCACGCTTAATAAATGTACGTTAAAAATTTTGGAACTTGCTAGGAGAGCTGAGATGATTGTGGCGGATGTTAGAGGTATTGCAATATATTTGAAACTAACATAACGGATTCAAAGTGTTTTAAAGCATAGAAATTAGCGAAACTGGTCCTATAGTAAATAAACAAGTATTTACATAACAGATCTTACTTTGAAAACCGAAGTTAATACAGTTTTGAAAACCGCAATTGACTTTGGTCGTGGTGACTGTATTAATGATCCTGATTTTAAAATTGACAACATTCAAAAGCAAGTTTTCGGGTCCTATTGGGCATGTGAACATATCTGTAGAGATGAAAAAATATGAAAGGCTTTCTACTTTTATTGTTTTAAGAAAAATCCTTTTACAATTTGCCGAACGGTTAGAAAAATTCGCTTAATTTTTCGCGACCGGGCTTCCTAAATGCACTCAAGTACATGAACGCTCGAAACTGACTAGTGGTCCATTTGTATGGAGTATTAATTGAAAAGTAAATGCTGACAGCTAAAATAAAAATGTCGAGCAAACTTACAATATTCTTTGTTTACTTGATAATCAAATACTTATATACTCTATGATAGGAGAGCAAATTCCGAACCAATTTACTTTGCCACAACTTTTTACGGAGATCTATATACTTTTTACGGCAGAACTTAGAGAAAAACTGACGAACAAACCATTTTCTATATGTAATTAATAATACGTCTCCAAGATTTAATTGTCACAAGTATCGAATTATTATTTTCTATACGAGTTCGAGTTCACTATCAAATTTGACTTTTCATTACAGTAGTTGTAATGACTCACACTTGATTTAATTTTGTTT